GAAATCATACCAAAACTATAGGGGGAGTAGCATTTTGAAAGAATTTCACAGAAATTTCTATTTTTAGTAACAATGCCAACAACATTCGTGGAAATCAAAAACCTATACACAGAATTATGTATTTTAGTGTAGTCTACTTATATACCAAGTTATATTGAAATCAGACCAAAACTGTAGGAGTAGCATTTTGAAAGAATTTCACAGAAATTTCTATTTTTAGTAACAACGCCAACACCGTTCGTCGAAATCAAAAACCGATATACAGAATTATGTATCTTAGTGTAGTCTACTTGTGTGCCAAGTTATATTGAAATCAGACCAAAACTGTAGGAGGAGTAGCATTTTGAAAGACTTTCACAGAAATTTCTATTTTTAGTAACAATGCCAACACCGTTCGTCGAAATCCAAAACCGATACACAGAATTATGTATCTTAGTGTAGACTACTTGTGTGCCAAGTTATATTGAAATCAGACCAAAACTGTAGGAGGAGTAGCATTTTGAAAGAATTTCACAGAAATTTCTATTTTTAGTAACAACGCCTACACCGTTTGTCAAAATCAAATACCGATATACAGAATTATGTATCTTAGTGTAGTCTACTTGTGTGCCAAGTTATATTGAAATCAGACCAAAACTGTAGGAGGAGTAGCATTTTGAAAGAATTTCACAGAAAATTCTACTTTTAGTAACAACGCCAACACCGTTCGTCGAAATCAAAAACCGATACACAGATTTATGTATCTTAGTGTAGTCTACTTGTGTGACAAGTTATATTGAAATCAGATCAAAGCTGTAGGAGGAGTAGCATTTTGAAAAATTGTTTACAGACAGACAGACATACAGACTGACAGACGGACGGACGCCGGACGCATTACTTTCGCATAAGCTCTTCTGGTCTCTGACCAGTAGAGCTAAAAAACATATATTATAACTAGGAATAAAAAATGAAGCAGGAATAGTCATATTTATTATTTCATTTCATTTTTCTTTTCCTTTTTAAAATGAAGGTTCAGCATTCGTAAAAAATAAGCACAGAAATATTTACGAGTTCTATATATATATTAATACTCATATCTACTCATAATGCCCAAGACATCGGTGGGATGATGTCTTTTCTTCATTTTAGCTCCATCGCCTCTGTAGTGTAATTTTATGTTTAAATTGAAACCGAAAAATTAAATTTTTAATAGCGGAACTATATTTATATACGTGAATTAAGTACTTCAAAAGTCATTTAAAATGAATTAATTCTTAGCAGCCAATCAAGAATTAAAGCTAACAGGCTCCGCCCACTCCTTTTGCATACCGTTTCCAAAAGCTTACCGTTCACAAAACGACCCGTTCCGTGCAAGAAACGAAACGTACCGTCCACAAAGCGTACCGTTCCGTGAACAAAGCATACTGTTCCGTGCACAAAGCGTACCGTTCCGTGCACAAAGCGTACCGATCAAGTGGTGTAGTAGCACGGTTTAGGGTCTGTATATATATTTTCAAATATCAGCCTTCTACTATGTATGGAACACAGGTTACTCTACATTTAATAAAAGGCTATAACATGCTTTTTTATTGGCATGCATTTAGTTAGCGTAAACACGTTCTAAAATGTAAGCTCCCCAGTGACTTGTATATAGGATTCTCTGATATATTTCCGCAAAATATGACGAAATCATTTTATTTTTCTTACAGGGATCATTCATTGATTTCAATATTAGTCTTTTTTCTCAAGTAGTTTTTAAGAAAATGAGTTAAAAACAATCCACAGGTATTTCGTTCACCATTAAATCAAGTTGGTTTGAAATCTTTGTAAATAAAATTATGGTTGATTTAAGAAAAAAATAGAGAAAAAGTGTAAATATACCGAAACAGTTACTGCATTATAGTAAGCATCTCTCCCCGATACGTGTGAACTCAAAGACACCAAATACTGCTCCACTGCATTCAAAAAATCGATTATAATACTATTATTTTAAAATTAACCATTTCATGAATTATCAAATTCTTTTTCCGCACATATTAGTGTGGCTTACCCGGTAGTACTGATTGAGTTTTGTTGAGATGAAGATGATTTAAACCAGTCGTAAAATCTTCCGAATCATAGACTGGCTTTAGTGTGGAAAGTTCCTAATAAAACGGTAAAAAAATTGTAATTTACCAGTCTTTTTGTTATAAAATAAAAGAAAGATATATGAACTCACTCTACATATAAATATAAATGTTGCTTACATTGAATTCATTTGTTATTTCCTTCATTGTTTCTCGATTCGCACTACCACAACAAACATTCAGAAAATCTTCTCGTTTGATTATTCTGCCTTGGCGCCTGAAGAACTCAAACAACGCATGGTGCAGGAAAATGTATTGCTCCTACAAATATATTAGCATTTAAATATTTGTGCTTGAACTGCAAATGAAAATATAACTTATTGTTAACAGAAACAAAAATCGTCCCGTTTAATGTTTGCCCTATTCGTCCTACTCACCGGGAGGCAAATTAAATTTAAGACGGGGCAAATAAAAAACCACAGTATGATTTCTTTAAAAAAAATCTGTAACTGGACGGATTTAAAACGGGACAAAATATTTTCTAACAAAAGGAGAAAAAAATCTGCCTTCAGTATTCAATATGTATTGCATTATGAAGAAAAAAAGTTTTATTTCTGCAGGTAAACACACACACATACACCCTCATCCCCCCCCCCCCCCCCCCCCCCCCGCACACACACACACAATTACAAAAATAGGACACATACAAACGAACACACAAACCACATCCAGAAAGAGATAAAGAGAGAGAGGTTTCAATGATTATCCTGACCATTTTCAACAATAAAAACATACCACATTCTGTATCATTGTCATCCTGTCTCTACGCATGGTCTTGACATACTCTATGACATTGACCTTGCCGTTGTCCTTCCCATACCTTGACAGAACGTCAAGGCCAATAAAGGTACCTGTTCTTCCTACTCCAGCACTGAAAAATTCATGTTATGGATACATATATATTATATCATTTAAACAGATAAGGAACAATGAACAATTAGAAGCCAATTCATGCATGTAACATTAACATTTTTGGAGGAAAACAGACTTAAAAGTACTGCAGATGAATGAATGTCGAATCATAAATCAGCTCACCTAAGTTGTTCTTTGAAAGTTGTTCTTTTTATAAAAGTTGAATTTCAGATTGAAAGAGCAAATGCGGGCTGATGATATTGTATGAACAAGAAAAAAATCTTCTTTTTTAGGAACAAAATACATGTATATTTAATAATGTGAAAAAGTCTACTGTGATAAGTATGGAAACATTTGCAAAGAGGCAGAATCTGCTGAAATTTGTTAAATTTATTTTTTAAAACGCTTCATGAAATATGCCGGCGTGAAGCGTCGTAATTCATAATCTCATGAATCTTCAAAAATAACATTTTTTTCTTAATAATAATAATAATAATAATATAATAATAATAATAATAATAATATTTTTATACTTTCACAATTTAAAATTGTTCCACCTTTTCTTTTTCTCTCTCTATAATTGGTTTCATTAATGCTTCACATCTGCAACCGGGCATGTATCTAATGGGCTCAGAGTTTAGCCATTTTTTTTTTTAGGTTTTTCTAAGAAATTATTTTCATATTTTGTTTTACCTGCAATGCACGAGAATCGGATACTGAGATCGGGTCACCTTGTGTCTAAAGTTTCTGTGAAAAACTACAAGATCTAGTGGATTAGGAGTCCCATGATCTGGCCATCTAGTGTAATGAAACTGCACGACCGTCCTTGACCCAGTTACCTAGGAAGTACATAAGAAATTATGTCAAATACGTTCTTTGTCTAGTAAAATCATTGTCCTCTTTTATATCATGGTAAACAATCTAATATGAAATACGGAGTCGGGCTAAAGTAGACTTTTTCTGCTGATCACTTCCCTTCACTTTTATTTGTGAATAAAATTTTGTGTAAAAAGAAGAGAATCTTCTATAAGACATATACTTTATTTTTACTTTGAAATATGAAGGAAATTAAGACCTGTTTGTTTTACTTAATATAATAATTATATAATTATAATACATTAAAATTAAATTAGACAGGTGCATTAATTTGTACAAATACAATAAAGAGTAAATGAAGGAACGATTTAATTTTTAAAAAATGTAAGAATACAAGTTTATAGCATCACATATAACACATGTACTTACTTCCCTTTTCTTTAAATTCAAAACTCTGATCACGTAATATGCATACACCTTTTCCTCAACCAGAGTAACAGAGAATGGCTCCAATTCTAATGCTTCGTCTTCATTTGACCAATACTGATGACATTTTTTCTGTGAACAAATTGAATTTGATATTTTCTATTTTCGATGGCTCAAAAAATAAATGAAAAATGATAATTAAGATAAGAAAAAAATAGATAATAAACACTGTATAGAAATAAACAAATATTTACATAAATCAACTCTGCAAATTGTTTCATAATTTTGATAAATTATAAAAATGTCAGACTGCAATTTATAACTGAAAAGGGGAAAGAATAAACAGAATGCTTCATTTTATTATACACCTAATGTGTATCGCTCAATTTTACTGATGATTTTATGCAATCACGTGACGTCGTTATCCGACTTTCAGGATCACCATACGGTGGTTTTCTGAATCCATATCACCACTTTCAGAAACTGAAGACGTAGTACGCAGAAATATAACGTTATTTTTCTTGCGCGTTAAAAAGTCCCTTGTTATTATGCTTTGTTTAATGGATTAATATTATATAATTAATGTCTACAGGTTAATTTCAATATATTTAACTAGTTATAAGATGGTATATAATAAATTTAATATCATAACAGTAACTTGATCCGAAGGGTTGTATCACGTTGAATTGACAGGCGCGGATCATCAGATCAAACTTGAAGCTAAAGGCCCTGTCACACCAACTGCGTTCACACGGAGTCTTTACGGCGTTGTTAAATTTTTAAAATCGCCGTGGAATCGCAGGAAAATTGCACAAATTTCTGTTAAATTTTCACAATATGAAGATCTCACGGCGTCCCTACGATGACGGACGCGATTCTACGGCGATCCCACGGCGTTCTACTGCGTTCCCACGGAGATCTCTCGGCGATTGACTGCGCTTCCGCGGAGTTTCCACGGCGCGTTAGGAGTTTTCACCTCGTGTTCACGGCGTTCTCACTGCGCTGGCTGCGTTCACAATACGTTCACAATGCGCTCTATACTTATTGATATATATTCAGAAGGAATGTGACACATTTTTGTTTAAAAATTCAAGTTACACGATGGAAAGACTTCTAATCATGCCAAGAAATATTCTTAATAATTAAAAATGTTCTATATTTAAATAATTTAGTACTAAATTATTAATAGTTTTATGATTAAACTCCTTTTTTTTCAATTTCATCGGTTCAGTTGTGTTGTTAGATTTTCTTTATTTTATTTAGAATGTAAAAAAAATAAACACACCGAAAAGTTTTCTACAAAATTTAAGTGAAACAACAGAACAAGTTCTGGCGTTATTTTCTCTTCCATTTTTTTTCCAGTGCAACAAATACGTTGGAATTATTGCTGATCAAATATGATCCCATTGCTCTTGTTTTGTGAGCTGGCTGACAACGTTCTAACAACGCCGTGAAAGCGCATTTTGATCGCCAACGGACGCTGTAGAAACGCCGTTGGAGCGCAATGATCGCAGTGACAACTCCGTGCTGTCGCCGTGTAATCGCAGTCGAAAAATCACAAGACGATAAATCTCATTAGAAGCGCCGTAATAACGCGATAAAAACGCAGTGACATCTCCAAGGACTCCGCGACATCTCCGTGAGGTCTCCGTGGAAGCGCAGTCTGCTATCACTGCGTTCGTGCCGCGATCATGTGCGTCTTCACGGCGTTTATACGGAGCTACCACTACGTTGTTGGAGATCTCACCGCGCTGCTACTGCGATCATACTACGTTTCCACTGCGTTCTTGTCAGACCGCGATCACACGGCGCGTACTTTGTGCATGCCCAAAGTGATCGCCGTCCCCTGGCGTTCTAGGAGACCCTCCGCGACCCTACGGCGTTCAGTGGAGATCTCGCCGCGTTGTCACGGCGCTGTAGGAGACTCTACTGCGATCACCTTGGCGTTTTGCATTTTTTGAGGACGCCGTGCAGTCGCCGTGAGGACGCAGCCCCGGTGTGACAGGGTTTTAAGCGTCTCATTTAATCTGATGATCAGCGCCTGTCAATTCGACGTGATATGACCCTTCGGAGCAAGCTACTGTTATATTAATATATGTATATTTTTTTTCTGATTCATTCATAAAAAAGGGAATTTAAAAATCAAACCTTTGGTCCCTCAATAAGATTCGTCAGCATGACAATGTATTCAATATTCTCTTGCCATATCATTCTCCAATGGTCTATCAAAGTCTTTTCTTTCGGTCCTGTTTGTACATTAGTCAAATCAAAGTTATAAATAAATACAGAAATGGTTTCCTGATGAAATATACACACTGTGAGATTTATATAAGATACATTAAAATAAATATGCAGTCGTTTGAATAATCAAAAAATTTCCCCCTTTAGAACATCTTATTGGGACATTGATTTCTAAATTTTACTGAACACGAGTTTTAGTCTTCTAAATGCCTGATTAATGTAGACAATTTGCTTGAGAACTTAAGCGTTTAAATGATAAAGATTGACTATTATCTGACCTTGACTTGCAATGTATTCAAGTTTTCGGTCCAAATTCTGAAATAAATTCGAAAACATGTATTTTTTATGCATATTGAATTTAAAGTGCCTTGTATATATGTATAATTATAAAGACCGATAGAGCGGAGATTATTATTTTAAATTACAATACGATTCTGTATGTGAAATGGAGAAAGCAATGTCAAGTCTTTCCTGATTAATCATACTAAGTATACGTGATAAACGTAAATGGTTATTACTTTGAGTCTTTTTTTTTCAAATTTCAGGTCAACTATCAACAATTATCAGTACTTACTTGTATGTAATTTGCATTTATATAATCAGACGTAAAACCATCTTCTAAAGATAATTTGACTCTAGAATGGTCATCTGAAATATTATAAAAATATTATCAAATTTACATGTATTAAATTATAACAAATTTTAAAATTTTCTTCGCTCATTGTACATGTATTTATTAATGGATAACCTTATATTTATTCTTATGAATGTAACATCAGAAGTTCTTTTGAAAATTAACAATTGGACATGAAACCATTTTTTTCATTTAAGGAGGCTTGAAGTCAACAAATTAATAACAAATTAACCACAAGGTACAAGTTAAATTTTTAGATATTATATCTTTAGCTGTCAAGTATCATTTGACTAAAAAAAATTCATACATATTAGTTTTAAAGTTTGATAATTTTTGTATATCTTGATATGGAGCTCTTGTTCTACAGGAAATCGAAATAGTCTAAAAATGGCCACGACCACCCAGCTCCTTCAAAACAGAAAGTCTCTTACAAGGAAAGGTTGATTTATATCTATTTTTGGATTTATTCTCTTCCAGTCTACCAACTCTGCAGCTAAATGCTTCTCCTTGAGGAAGACTCTGATAAATAAAAATAAAATCAATGTTCCTACATTAAAATGATTTTTTTAAGACAAAATAAAATATATTTCCCTCTTTTAAACATTTTCTTTCCAAACTTTATTATTTATCTAACTAATACGACCTTAAATTCCTCCATGAAACTTTTATTCTGACTTGCTTTGTTGTCTTTGATCACACGTAATAGGTCAGTTACGACATTATCCTTAACAACTGAATTATTCTTAAATACAGATACATCTGGAATTTTTACTTCCGGGTCGTCAACTTCCGGTTCATGTGTTTGATCCCCAAGTGCTACGATAAGGATAGATAATAAACAATCTAATTAAAATTAGATGTTTGATCTGCTTGTATACTCGCTACACTAACATCTAACAACATCCCATTGAGGGACGTGTCAGAGTTCAAACTTTATCAATCAATCAAATCGTTGCCTGCAAAATCATCGTATATTGTTGAAGCGAAGAAGTCTAGAGTTGTTCCGAATTTGACCTCTGACGTGACCCTTTATGGAATGTTGTTAGATGTAACGAGTATACGAGCGAATCAAATAATTATTTTAATTAAACTGGATAATTAAAGATCAGTTCATTAGCCAGACATTCTTTGTTTGACATAAAATAACAATTTCAATTAAATTCATGATTAGAATTCTTTTCAAAATGTTTTTATGTAAATTACATTTGTATGAGCTCAGTAAATCAATTTACTAGTCTTATTTTCCTTATTTGTTGTAAACAAAAGAAAGTCATGGTCAACATGTACATTTTTGACACAAGCTACTTTGTTGCATTTCTAATTCATAAATAAGATTTAAGACTTAAATATAGAGAATTTCTGAATGATTAAATCCTGCACCTTTTAAATCTCTCTTTGAAACTTTGACATCAACAATGCTTGAAGACTTCGATTTCTTTTTTCTTCTCAACCTTGAATTAAATATAATGACACATTATAATAAAGTTTTCTACATGCTACTTTATGCACAAAAAGAGACGTCGACTATGTGCTTGTCCTAACCCTTTGCTCATTGCTGTTCTTTGATATAGTATTCAATTGAAAAAAAATGTTTTATGGAGCACATATCGTAAAATGACAAGCTCGAAGCATATTAACGAAATAATCCTTTTAATACATAATGAAGCTACCGTATTGTAATCATTTTTGTATAGAAACAAAAACTTACCAATTTAATGTTTTTGGTAAGGTAAAATGTTTTTAAATGGAAATCTTATCAATATGGTTGTACATGTATTTCAGAAAATCAGATAAAGAAGCATGCTGAAAAAAAACCAAGAATGACTATTGTTCACTTGGTAATTGAGAATCATACGAGTAATTCAAATATTAACTTTGCCATTAAAACAATGACTCAGTGCAATAATACAGTGCAAGAACTCGTAGACATGAAATAATGATTTTGTTGTTTCTTATAATGAAACAACATCAGTCAACGTCTTTCATCATCAAAGAACATAGGTATGAAGTTGAAAAACTAAAAATGCTAACGGTGCAGTCAATAACCTTTATAAATGTTGTTGTAATTTGTAATGGTGATTGCAAGTTAATGTTCCTGATACGTATGATTTTTTTTCACACATACCTGTAAACAGCGGTTGCACCAAAAAGCACAAATATTAGAAGCAGGAATGCTCCGATGCCAACTCCAATATATGGCGCATTATTTGTTTCTTCATTTGACTGGGTTATTAAATGATACTCTAGGATTAGTAAGAAATACATTGTGACATATCTAGACGTGCATGAATGCAGGATGCTTTATTTAAAGAAAATCAAATATCAGAATACAAAAATAAAAAGGAAAAGAATTATAGACCTTATATGGTACCATCATTTAGTTAACAGAAATATTATGATTTCAAAATAAATGTAAGGAGGTAAGCAAAAACATTTCTTTTTTTCCTAAATTTGTGAAAATTTAACATTTCTAAAACCAATAAATATGAAAAGAATCCCTCCTTTAGTAAAAGTATGCATTGTTAATTTTCTATTTTCATATTGACTTTCAAAACAAGTGTACTTTGTGAAATGTTTAGATAACCTAACATTATTTACTTACTTTTAATTGTTATTACATATACTGATTTTAAGTCATGTAAAAATGGACAATGTCGTCTTTCTTAAATGATTTACCACATACCTGAATTGCATTTTGGGTAAACGAAGTTTTCGACACACCCCAATGAACACGTGCCATTGTTTGCAAAGCAAGTGTTATTTATGCAGCCTTCGCCACAAGATTGTTCACAATTTTCTCCATAATGGAAGGCATCACAAGCTTAAATATTTCAAAGAAAAACAGTACAACTAGGGCTTTTTTTTAACATTCTATGTTAAAAAGTTTACGTTATAACATTTCGATAAAATGTTATACAATTATTTAATATTCTACCTAGGTAATAATCATAACTGTTGTCTCAGAAAGAAAATGAAAAAAAATCGCATTTATATGCAAAGACATATAACGTATACTGTTAGCATGAATATATAACAGGGCTGATAAACTGCTTACAAAAGAGAATTACGTTATAGTATGATATTTAGAAAAACTTCTTCAAATAAAACGTAGTGTTACTCATGTCATTGATTTCTGAAACATATTTTTAAAATTTATCATTTCAGATCGAGAATATTACAGCACAAGTGTAAAACAAATTTCGTTTAGAATGAAAGAGATTCAGAACAATAAAATTAAATATTCACAAATGTTTCCTTCAAGACATTATCAGAGAAAATGTATATCTAAAACAAACCTCCACATTTTTCTCCATCAAAATTTCCTTTGCAGCCATTCACACAACTACCATTTTTCAGATCACAGACGTCATTTGCACAATTTTTACTGCATGTCAAATTACAATAAATACCCCATGATCCATTTTTACACCCATGGTCACAACTACCAGTAGTTCTATTACATATACCGCCATTGCAATGTTCTGGACAGGAACTATTACAGTTCTCTCCCCAAAGATGTGCATTACATTCATCACAATATCCGGTCGTCCCACATTCTCCATTACAATTGATGCTACAACCTATGGCGTATAAATTCCTTAATAGATAATGCAATGCATACTCATTTGTACGTTTGATTGTTGCTTCATGCATATGTCAATTGAAGAAAATATCTTTAAAATTCATTCTTACCAAATATCTCGATTTCACAGATTTCAAGAATTGGTCCTTTTGAATGTGTGTCATTACCAAAATAATCATTCTGTACAATGACATATCTCGCAACGGATGGACAAGTTATATTGATTATGCTTGGAGGTAATTCGGGGATCGTTGTATTGTCTTGGTAACATGTGATCCTCTCAGTTGTTGTTGACCCATTAATAGAAGAATTGGACACATCAAGGTAAAAATATCGAAAGCGATATGGCCTCCAATAACCTTCTCCTAAAATTGAAAAAAAACCTGTTTTATTTTAGAGCTACATGTATGTGTACTGCCGTACGCGTGTTTTCACCCGCAGGAAAAGGTAAAAAAAGCAAAATATATATAGAAAAAAAATACGGCCATTTGTATTTTGGGTGTGAAATTAGGATAGATGCATTCTCTTATAAATAATGTTTTCATGTTCGTCAACTTTTTTAAAACCAAATTGGAAATATTTTATAAATATCTATTCATGTACAAAAACGAAATTTTTCACCGGTGAAATTTTGGAATTAGACCTTAACCAACTCACAGTGAATCGATTAGCTATATATCGATCGAAGTTTTAACTGTAGCTTTTCGAAGTATTTTTACTATGGATATTAAATTGCTCTAATTTATGTTCATCAATTTATATTATCATACATTTTTGAACATAAATTGATACGTAAATAGTATGAGAGTTATTAAAAAATATACATAGACTATGTTTCTCCTCATATTATTTTTAGAAGAATATTAAAGATCAACCCATTTTCATACATGTATGTGAAAAAAAATTAGTATGTCAATACGTGAGTTCTATTTGGTTAAATGGAATTTGTGTTTGCAAAAATTTAAAAGCAACATGTTTTGTCACAGGGAGTAAGGTAAGCAACATTGAACAGGCATTCTCAATTTATAGTACCAATTCGATCTTGGGAAAAGTCAAAAAATTTAGTGAACTGAAATTAACACTTTTATACGTCATTCGAAACATGAAAGTGTATAGTTATTAAAAATCGCAATTTGATTTACATACTTCATGCTGTGTTTTGTTGGCCTCCTTCGAAATTAAAACGGTTGGAGAGCTAATTTTACACCAAGACATTTACGTGATGTTGAAAAGCCATATTTGGAAACGAAAGAATTTTTTTAAAATACAAAATCAATATAATACACATCAAATTTTGTTAACTATAAACATTTATGAAACCGTTGAAGCACATTTGTAAAAGGGGTGTAGAATCTTGAATTCAATTATTAGTAAAAATAGAACGGATATAATTTTCATTTAAATGAAATTATTTTCTTTTTATTTTAACAAGTTTTATCACATCCGATGATAAGCTTAATAATGACAATATTCCCTAAAATGCTACATTAATTGATTCCTTATTAATCTGCTCAGAGAAACGCACATTATTTAGAATATAAGAAGGTTAAATATTTCGCCATTACCTGATTACGAAGTGTTTGTTAAATATCACGTAAATATCACACATAGATATCACACAAAAATAAAGGTATTTTCGGGGAAAAAATGATTATATTATTTCAAATTATTGATTTTTATGAATTTTCTTATCTATATATACACCTTTACAAAGGTTTGAATTGAAAATTCAAGTTATGATTTATCTATAGAGGACTCATGTAATTCATAACCCCCCCTCCAGCATTTAATCTGTTGATTATTTCAAAGGCAGCCACGTAGCATCGTTTTTAAAGTGGATGGGGGGGGGGCAGCCAGATATTTTTTTTTACTTACCTGGAAAGTTGACAAGGCAAAAAAAGGGGGGGGGGTGTGAGAAAACTTGCACAAAGTCGAAAATCCTAGAGGGGGAGGGGAGGCGAACTTTTTTCTATGCCAACTACTTTCAGTACCAATTATTACACTACATTTTCCGTACTTCACAATTAGTGGGGGTGGGGGCTATTAGCCTTTCACTGAACATTTACTATAGTTGAAGTAAGGTTAGAGAAAAAAGTGGGGGGGGGGGCTGCCCCTCCCCCTCTGTTGCTACATGTCTGAAATGTTTAATTGTTTGTGAAAACTTTATCGTCAAATCTCAAAAATTAAACAAAGATTGCCCATCACCCTTAAAAGGTTTGTCAATAAGTAAGTTGCATATCACATGTGCTCTATAGAGCAATATACATTCTATGTTCATATAACGTAAATTGAATTTTCAGTACCATTAAAGCATGGACGCATACGTTATATGTCTAAGCAACAATTCCAATGGGAAAATCAGGTGCACAATTTTATACATGTTAATTTTTGTATTTCTTGCAAAGCAACAAAAATGGAAATGGATTCAATTTTAACCAGTTTCTTGACACCCAACACCCTCTTTTTTACCCGATGTAGAACCCCCCCTCCCCCCCCGCACTGCATGCAACGCAGCGCCTATTTTCTGGAATTATATTTCCTACAAAAATGATTTTTTTTCCTTCAAAATGTTAAGCTTGGTATACAATTCAAGTGTGTATAACCATTTATTTAAGTTGACAATACACTATCATTTCAAACAAACAGCAAAATACAGACTTGAAGAAAGTTTTGTTTCAGATTTACGTTCCGAATGATAACGTGCATTACACTTGAAACTATGCAATATTAACCAATTGCTCAAAATGGAAGGATCAGTCATTAAACCACAATTCTACTTGTGAATAATATTATGTCAATTCAATTTTCAAATCACACAGATGCACAAGATATTGAGTAAAAAATGTTCACCTTTGCATGTGCACTTCAATTTGCATTTCTGCACTCTTGTTACAGAAAAAAAAAATGACATTTTAAGAAACAGTGTATATTTCTTCATGTTCTTAATATTTACATCATAAAAGTTAAACTCGCAAATCTGTTCAAACAGCTTTGGAAATTAATACTTATTTACTTTAAAACATGGTAACGTAAATATCGGTAACGTAAATATCTTTCTGAGATTTATCGTAACTTTTAATGCCATTGTTCAATTATTCCACTGTTAATTAAAGGCATATTCTAGTGCTTGACTGTAAGGCAATTTGACCCATAGGGAACAGTGTAGTTCTCTTACTTAATTTGTGAATAAATACTAACACGTAAATATCGTTGAATTTCTTAACCATTGGACTTATAAGAAAAGGGGGGCTATTGTTCATAAATACAGATAAAGAGTGTCCTTTTTACCATTCCATGCAATAGAAAGGGTGTTCATGATGTTAAAAAGTTACAACTTAGTTCTATTGAGTCAGTTCATCAATCCTTCCAGTCCTTTTGAATTTCCAAATAGAAAAGTAATAATTCTGCGGTGACATCAAAATTTGATAAATATATTAAAACTTTTAAAAATTTGTGACACGCATATGTGTGAAGGGTGTGATATTCAGAAAATATAACGCAAATGTAGGACAATCTTACTAAGAAAAAGATATGTAAATGATTTAAAACTTCTATTTGGTTTAAAATAAAAACTACACGATGATCGGCGACAGTAACGTAAATATCGATTTCTGCTATAAAATGTGATTTTCTCCTAAGACAGTCATTCAAACTACAACAAACAATTGTTGCATTTTAATCAACAACCAACAATGGTTCATATGAGTGGCAGAAAATAAAATTTATTTGAAATATTATATTACTTAAAACGCGGTACATTATTTAAAGCGAAATGAGACTATAAATTGAGAATGCGTGTGTAACGTCAAATAACAATGTGAAGAAAGTTTCTCAAAATTACTCTTCTTTTCATTTTATACATGGTTTGAGGTGACTGCTCCGTTTATTAAATCATATCAATAATATTGACACCTAATTTGCTAATACTTGTTCGAGTAGGGTAAATTTAATTAAGCAATGAATCATTATCTGTTGAAAGGAGTAGTCTCATAACTGCATCGGTGTGTGCCAACAAATTTTCATAACGCGCGTTATGAAAATTTTTGGCACACACGGTTGCAGTTATGAGACTAGATCTTTCAAAAAATAATGAAACATTACTTATATTTACAATTTTGAACTTTCTACCTTAACTGCAAATGTGATTTCTATTCAATTACATATGTATTATCGTTCGTGTTAGCTTCAGTTAATGGATCAGCCAACGTAACAGTTTCTGGTCAATTTGAGCGTGATTTTTGGATTTTCGCTTTTGATCTTGCAATTCCATTGCGAACAACGATTATGACGTTAAACTAAAACGCATGCTGTAACCTCTTGGCACCCTGTCTGTGTTATGGTGTTTTGAATGCAATAGATTTCCATTTACTTTATGCGCAAAAAACATATGTAATAAATGTAAATATTTATCAATGTTTTCAAATTCTTTCCCGCGTATCCCTGCTTTCTCTTGTTCCGCAACAGTTACGTGCACATCGCATTTCATGACGTCACTATCTCTTTTGATAAGATTTTACACTATAATCCGTTATTTTTCGGAGTCCGTCCCCGTCTGATTCAAAATCTCTACCACGCAAAAATTGTCTGATATGATATATACAATGCACGACTTTTTCTTCAAAAAAGTTTATTTAGAGGTTTCCGAATGCAAAACATTTTTTTGTAACTCGCTACCCCATGCCGTCATTGTTTTTTACTCTTTTTAATCAAGTCAATCGTTAGAAACAGATATATTTTAAATGCATTTAACTACCTTTTAGATTCTGATGAAATAGATCAGTGATAAATATAAAGATTTGAATCTTATTAAATGTAAGCGCAAATCACTTGTATTTAAAGTATTGCTATATACCTTATAAAGTTTATAATTAGCAAATAACTCAAGTTTGATCCTGCTCAGTGATCCCATTTTTGCCATCTTAAATATCTGATACTTTTTATAAAAATGGAGACATAATCCAATTTTTTAATCAAATCATTTGAATCTGTTATTTAAATGTGTGTCCAAATTTTATTGCAATATGACATTAAAAAAAAAAAGTTATGACAAAAGTCTACAAATTTTTGCATGACCCACGTACTTTTTTTCCGAAATACATAATCATGGTCGAATTTTAACAGTAATAATCTTTGGTTTTAACATTTCTTAAATCTCTTAGTTAACCATAGAAATAAATATATTAAGTTTAAAAATAACTATAGGAAACTGTAGTAAATTCTTTTAATTATTTGCAAGAATTTGACCTCAAAATCAATAAAAGCATTAAATCTACCTGAAATTCCTATTTAAAATCTCAATGTCAAATGTTTCGTTTGGAAATAAAAATATTTCAAACAGACAGATTTTATTTATTTCTTACGTTGGCTTTTGATTCCATGTGCTTTTAAAAGAAGCCTCTTTCAAACCCACTAGAAAAAATGATACAAAATGTCATCTAAAAAGTATAGTTAACATATGTTTGAATGATATAGCTGAGAGAGATTCAAATATTCCCTGTAAAAATACATTTAACGTTTATTCCATCTTTAAACAAATTAAATTTTAATAATCTGATAGTGATGCAATGAATTTATTTTATTTCATCATCTGTTGAAAGGGTTCAAACCGCAAACCTTAACTTTCTTCAGCATTTGTCATTTATGAACATGCTTATATACGTATAGGTCAACCATAGCTATTTCAAAATTTAAAGAAATATATATAAAATTGTCGTTAAATTAAAATTTTAAATAAACCCACTTTTTTTTGTTTGAGAGTGCCTAAATTGAATCTCGGAAAATAGATGTCTCATGCCCTAATCATTATATACCGAAAAAAAAACCACATAATACTTTATACAAACCCGGAAACTATAGTTGTTTGGTAATACCATACACTTCTGTATTGCACTGAAGAACGGAAATATGACTTTTTTCAAAAATTAGAATTAAGTGTAAAGATAACTCCTCACTTATCCTTGAGATTTCATTTTTTCTTCGGCCAGGTAAAAGAAACTTTAAATAGGGTCAAATTGTTTTATCATACTTTCATGTTAAATACTATAATCTGATTGGTTTAGACGCAGTTAACAATCCCTTCGATTACCCTGAGCCTTAGCAACACACGTGACAACGGGTAACACAACGGTAATGCCACATGCGTGGAAATTATGCGCGTACGGTTCACCGTAGAATTCTCAAAACGTCAGTTGCGCGTTTGAAAGAACCGGAATTAACGTGACGTCAATAAAAGCTTGCGTCCGATATAGCTTACTTGAAAACAACAAACGACAGACGATACATGCTTGCGAGTGTAAGAAACATGCTTGCGAGACAGAAATAACGAAACTTTATATGATAAATGACTCTAATTCGAGTATCAATCAAACAAGGAGATTAAGTGAACCGGTGAGTGTGAAAGCTTTCTATACATGAACGTAAAGACGATCGACGGTTTTTTTTAGCTGACGTCCTAAATCAATAAGACATTCAGTATAATAAAATAAATGGTGCCTGTTTTGGAGGATAACATTTGAAATTGACACCCCTCGGAAAACCATTGTCAACCTCCGCTGACGCGTCGGTTGACAATTGTTTTCCTTGGGGTGTCAATTTCAAATGTTACCCTCCAAAACAGGCACCATTTATATATTAACGCACAAGCTAGGGCTGTCTTTCAGCACATAGTTGGAGTGACATGCACGACCACAGTAATCATACAATCATACAAATCCACATAACAAATCCCGTGAATTGTACTTCCTTATAATGTATGCAGTTGCAGTTAGTAGTTTGGCCCTTGCTTCCTCTCACTGATCTCTTAAATCACGTTCCCAGTATTTGATGTCACATGCAGACATTTCATACTACATAGAGAACATTTTAAAATGTAAATATCATCATGGTGTTATTGTTTATGCTCAACTTTAATTAATGATACACAACGGACCACAGGATTGTAGAAATAGTAGTAGTAATGCTAGTGGCGGCGGTGGTAGTAATGGAAGAAGAATAAGAAATAGAGGTAGTAACAGTTGTAGTACTAGCAGATTACTGCTTGCAAAAGCAAACGTTCTCGTCTTTAATTCTATTGATTTTATATAATATTACCTTCATCTCTGTAAACTATCCTTATGGTTTTAAGACTAAAAGGTTCTCCTAAATCAACTTGAAACCAAGCTTCCGATTTGTTAACAGCTGTGTGGGCACAAGAATTTTCCTTTTGTGTTTTGTTCCCGTCTATTCCATATTTAGCAGTTTGATTTCTATAGTCCGAACTCTGTGACACGGATGTCGCATTTCTTCGACTTAAGTTTTCTGTCAAGAAATCATATATTATTCAAATTGTGTACTTAGTCAATTGTTTCCTTCTCTGTCTCTCTCTCTCTGTCTCTCTCTCTGTCTCTCTCTCTCTCTCTCTCTCTTACAAAACTGTTGTTATTGTGTCCTTCATGACATGTTTTCTAGCCTTTAAAAACGCAGTCATTAATGATAATGGTAACAATAATCTTTAGTAAAAATTCATTGAAACAAAAGAATCAGGTGCAGAGCAAACAAAGAAAACTAAAGTGCCATAGACGAGAAAATATCAACGCCATTTTTATAAATTCATGCAGAGAGTGTAAATGATCGAAGAATGAATGTTGATCTAAAAGAGAAAGAGTCTCTAGTCTATGTTCTGGTCAGGCATATTTAAAATAAATTAAATCATTCAACTTGCATATCCTAATAGATCGTATTGCTCTTTGAATAAAAACGATGTATGAATATAAAAGTTTTGTTTGCAATTGAAATTGAGTATAACGTTCTGATTTTGTTTCTACGACCGCCGAAACATGGCTGACAAATTGCCGACTCGGCGTTAAACAATATTCAATCAATCAATCAATCAATCTACAAAAGGACCATTTTTTTATATTAATGAATAAATTATGAATAATTCATAAAACCAAATGAATTAAAAAAAATTAATTTACACAAAAATCTTAGATAAAGCAAACATTTTTGGATTGTAAATTTACTTTGTTTTATTCGCACTCCAGTAATATCCATAAAACAAATGTGATACATTAGTATATTATCCAATTTTATATATAGATTCATTTATCTAATTGATGGTTTTGTATTTACTATAATAACGTAACACACTTGATTGTCCAGAAAGTGCGGGATGGAAACAATAGCTGTATTGTTTAACTTAATGGACAGTGTCAGGTAAAGTTAGATTTAAATGATAGCTCACTTGATTAATGACCATGTAAAGCTTCCTGAAT